GTGGCTCACAATATGAGGTAATTGTATGCAAAGTTCCATTTTGAACAAACGTATACTTTGCGAGTTATGCTCCTGGCCAAAAATATCAATAATGAGTAATATAACCCAGATGTGCCACGCTCACCTTAATTTTTTTTGCATAGGGTAATTGATATTCCAAATGTCATGTTGTGTTTTAAATTTCAAGCTTCTACATTATTCAGGTTAAAAGATATAGGTCAACAAATGTCAACAAAGGTCAAAATCGAAAAATGAAAATATCCAAATGTTAAAACCCGTTCCTTTTTTGGAACTATAAAGCTGAAACAACTGAGCTGTTAACACAAACTGGCCAAAAGGATGTGTGCAAAGTCCCTTTTTTAACAAACGTATCCCAAAATGTAAACAATTAGTAATTCAACCCGGATGTGCCACGCCCACCCCAATTTTTTTGTCATGGGTGAATTCATATTCAAAGTGTCTAGTTGTATTCCAAATACCAAGGTTCTACATAAAATAGGTCATAAGATATACATACACCAAGATCAAAATGACACAAATATGGTAAAACAAAACTCAAATTTGAAAAAATCACCAATTTCAATTTTGCTTTAAAAAAGCAATTGTTCTATATCTATGTAAAGTGCATGAAAAGCACATTAGAAAACCGAAAAAATTAACCCTCTAGGTTAATTAGGTTACGTGCTAGAGCAGTCCAAAGTTGCGAAATTGGCTTTTTACGGATAGCTATAAAACCGGAAGTACATGTCGGAGGTCAAAGGTCAAAGTATCAAATGATAGCCAAGGTCAATGACTTTTGACCCTATGAAGGTCAAGGTCATCAAAGGTCAAGGTCACATGGTGTGATCGTTTAAAGCATGAAAAAATTTCAACCGGAAGTTGCAAAAAAGCAAAAGCGAAATTCAAAATTCGGCTCCCAATGTTTTTTGCGCAATCGATTGCCGAATACATTCACATCAAATTTGAGCATATCAACATTTACCCTGAGGCCCCATTTTGAGTTTTACAAAAGTGTGTTTTTTCAATATGGCGGCCAAAGTATCACTTCCGGTCTGGATTTTATTTTCTTTGTTTTTTTGTAATAGCATTTACTTACGATCAGCATAAATTTCGTTGACCTATTTCAATTACACCGGAAGTTATTCGACCGGAAGTGGATTGTACTTTCAATTGATTCCCCGTTTAAAACCAGAAGTAAAATTAAATATTTGACAACTACATATTATTTGCTTTAGTGATGTCCCTTTGCATATTAAATTTCAGATCAATCGATGCAAAAGCAAAAAAGTTGCAAAAAATTCGAAAAATTTGATCGGAAAAAGTGAGCGAAGAATTTTCGAATTTCATAATTTTTCAAGTGCTATCAGGTCAGAAATTACAGGTAGATTGTAAAAATGAAAACCCGAAGAAAATCGATGCAAAAATACGCCTTCTAGAGCCGATTTTCGACTTTTTGCACATGTTGAACTGTGGCACTTCCGGTTTTGCAAAAATGTCCAATATATATTTAAGGAACACGTCGCCACTACAGAAGGTCTAGAGAAGTTGAATGGTTGCTGCAACTACTGCAGTCTAGGCTCAGGAAGGTGTGTAAATTTCGAAAAAAAAAAAAAAAAAAAAAAAAAAAAAAAAAGAATGGACATTTCGATAACAAACTGGGACTTTGCTGAAAGCAAAGTCCCACAAAAAAAAGAATGGACATTTCGATAATAAATGTTATAAAAACAAATACATAATATAATTGAAAACACTTGCATCAGAATTATGATAGCAAACAAAGATATAAAATTATACCAACAATAACTGGAAACAAGACATGTAAACAAATGGAGGCAATTAAAATGAATGACAAATTAAAAAAATTAAAATAAGTTTATAACAAGTGTCTAGACACATAAATTTACACCTTACCTACAAATATAGTGATAAAGAATTAATATTTGCTACAAAAAGTTTAATTTAGTCCAAAACCAGAACGCTTCTATAAAAAAGTCAAAATGGCTGAATTTTCTACAAGACCAGAATGCAACTGGGTGGAGTCCTAATTTGAACTTGACCTATGCGTCTAAAAACATGAGATGTATTTTTAATAACAATTAAATATTTATGAATGAAATAATATTGAAAATGGTATTTGACTATTAAATTAATTTACAGTTTAGAAATAAAAACAATTATTAGTAGACATCCATATTTTTGTATATACTGGGTAAAAGCATAATGATGGAGATGGCGACACTTGCATGTTTTGAACACAGCATTTCATGTAACTAAAAGCTAAATCATGCAGCAATGATAACATGTTAAAATAGTATTGAAAAGTCAAAAAGAGACAAAGTAGGAACTTGTTCCTTAAAAACTTTAATTTTTTTTTTTTCAGAAACATTTAATGATACCTTAAACCTAAAATTGGTAGGTCCATTTGACATACTTGCTGGTAACCATAAAGGAAAGAAAAACAAGGATGGAAAAAAGCCAAACTTTTTACTTCACTGGAGATATTACTATGATCCACCTGAATTAACTACAATGATGATTGGTGATAGTGAAGCACAATTTCATATTGGTTATTATAGGTGAGTGCTTGTAGTAATTTTTATATGCCCACATGAAATGGGGGGCGTATATTGCCGTCACCTATGTCCATCCGTCCGTCCAGAATTGCGCGTAAGCACTGTACAAGTCACAATTCTTGACTGATTTTCTTGAGAACGCATTCAATTTTTAGCTTGTAAAAACTCTAGAAGGCATGATTCTTGCCGAATTTTTACAAAACTTGGTTTTATTATTCACTACGCGCTTAAAATTGAATATTTTGTCTTCTAGAGTTTCCACGAGTGAAAGATTGAACAACGCCAATAACTCATACTCAATATTATTCAGTATCGCCCTGAAGAGTTCAAAAGAAGTGTATGACTGAAGGTTGAATATTTTATACTGGTGATTTTTACTGTACTGCTAAATATTTTTATTCAAAATCAAATCTGCCAGTGGGCGTATATTACCTTGCCTCGCAAGCTATCTTTATAAGCCAAAATAATAATGTTGACTTGCTGTCAAACTTGTTTCTTGGTTTGTCTTCAATATTTTTGTCAACTGGTACAGTTTTGTCTAATTTTTATACGCCCACATGAAGTGGGGGCGTATATTGCCGTCACCCATGTCCATCGGTCCGTCCGTCCACCCACAATGGCTCGTAAACGCTCTACAAGGCACAATTCTTGACTGATTTCGATGAAACTTGGTATGGTTGTTTGGAATCACCCTAGGATAAACCCTATTGAAAATCAGACAGATCGAAAAAAATAATTAGTATGAGTTATTGCCCTTGTTCTTGAAAACGCGTTCAATTTTAGCTTATAAACACTCTAGAAGGCACAATTCTTGATGGTTTTTGACGAAACTTGGTGTGAGTGTTTGTAATCACCCAAGGATAAACCCTATCGAAAATCAGAAAAATATTTAGTATGAGTTATTGCCCTTGTTTTTGACAATTTTTAGCTCGAAGGCATAATTTTAGACGGTTTTTGGTGAACCTTGGTTTGAGTGTTGGTAATCACCCAGGATGAACCCTATTGAAAATCAAATGAATCGAAAAATATTTAGTATGAGTTATTCTTGATGGATTTTAACGAAACTTGGCATGAGTGTTTGTAATCATCTAAGAATGAACTCTAGTGAAAATCAGAAGCATCGAAAAATATTAAGTATGAGTTATTGCCCTTGTTCTTGAAAACGCATTCAACTTTTAGCTCGTAAATACTCTAGAAGGCACAATTCTTGATGGATTTTGACGAAACTTGGCATGAGTGTTTGTTATCAACCAAGGTTAAACCCTATTGAAAATCAGAAGAATCGAAAAATATTTAGTATGAGTTATTGCCCTTGTTCTTGAAAACGCATTCAATTTTTAGCTTGTAAACACTCTAGAAGTCACAATTCTTGACAGATTTTGACGAAACTTATCATGAGTGTTTGTTATCACCCAAGGATAAACTCTTTGAAAACCAGAAAAATATTTAGTATGAATTGTTGCCCTTGCTCTTGAAAACGCTTTCAAATTTAGCTCTTAAACACTAAAAGGCATGATTGTTCCTGGATTTTGACAAAACTTGGTTTTACTATTCAGTCCCGCTCTGAAGATTGAATATTTGCCTTCTAAAATTTTCATGAGCTAAAAATTTAACACATTTTCAAGAACAAGGTCAATAACTCATACTCAATATAATCCTTTTCGCCCTAAAGAGTTCAAAAGAAGTGTATGACTGAATGTTGAATATTTCATACTGGTGATTGTTACTGTACTGCTAAATATTTGTATTCTAAATCAAAACTGCCAGTGGGCGTATATTACCTTGCCTGGCAAGCAATCTTTATTCAGTACGCGCTGAAAATTGAATATTTGTCTATATTATGTCTATACATTATTACTGTGAGATATCTTACTATGGTATATCATCTAGGCCAATATCATATGCCTGCAATATTGTGTAGCTTTGTAGTTGTCTGACAGGTGTCCCTTGCTTTGTATCTTAGTCTACTAATAAACTTCTTATTGAATGGATGTGTTCCTTATTTCAATACACAACAGATTTTTGGCGATGAGGATAAAAAGTTGATTTGCCTGATGCAGATGTTTTCATGGTAGACTATGTGTGTAGTAGTTGTTCTGTAGTGGTTTTAAAAGTTTGTCTGTCTGACTGAGACAATTCATTGTGAAATTTCTGTGTGAAATCAAAGTTGATTTGTTTGAATCATGGCATCTCGAATGATTGGTAATATCAAGGAGTACAAGCCTAGTGAAGAATTGTGGACTAACTATAAGAAGTGATTAGAATTTTGGATGAAATCTAACAAAATAGAAGAGGAAAATAAGTTGAATGTTTTCTTGTCTGTTGTTGGACCTGATACTTTTGATTTGGTTTTGGCGTTAGTAGCTCAAACGAGTTTTGTTACGTAGAAGAGTCTGTGTCAGATTATATTGTTGAATTGAAGAAGATGAGCAGAGACTGTGAATTTACACCTGAAGAGCTGTTACCTAATTTACGAGACACAATCTATACAGCAGAAACTGTTTGAAAATGGTTTGGATCAACTGACTTGGGAGAAAACTCAAACTATTGCATTGAATATGGAAGCTGCTTATAACGATTCCGGTAGAATGCATGATAAAACATCTTTCAATAAATGTACAGTAAATCGTGTTAGTAGTGCTGTTAATGTTAAATTAAATTTTGTAAACTCAAAGACTAAAACTGTGTGTGGTCGCTGTACAGGAAATCATAAATCCAGTGATTGTCCTTATATTAGCAAAAAATGTTACAATTGTGGCAAAATTGGTCATATTGTTGCTGGTTGTCGTCAACCAAAACAGAATAAATCTAGCTCAAGCCCATATCAACAAGGTAGATTTAAGAGTAAATCGAGAAAAGTTTATGGTCCAGCACACTGTGTGGAAGATGATGAATCAGACAATATTGATAATGAAGCTGGAACATTGTTTGGTGTAAAACATGGTAATAATGGTAGAAATAGTAAAACCATAAATTTAGATGTTGTTCATCCTGAAATTAAAGTGGAAATGAGTATTTTGGGTGAAACTGTCAATTTTACAGTGGATACTGCTGAATCAGTTACAGTAATTTCCGAAGATTTATATTTTGAAATGTTTTCTGATGTGCCTATGGACGAGTCTAATGCTATATTGCGTGGTTTTTCCGGTTCTGTTATACCTGTTGTAGGTGAACTATTTGTATAACTCCTTTTGTGGCTAATGTGAAAATAGTGCCCCTGTATTTTGTCGTCCACGTCCGGTAGCGTATGCTGTTAAGGATTCCATAGAGAAACAGCTTAGTCATCTTGTGTCAACTGGTGTATTGGTAAAAGTGGAGAAAAGTGAGTGGGCATCTCCGATTGTAGTTGTACCAAAGAAAACTCCTGGTGTTGTGAGAATATGTGGAGACTATAAAGTTTCAGTAAATCGTTATATTGAAGACGAACCTTACCCGTTTCCTACAACTGAAGATTTGTATACAAAGTTAACTGGCGGTGTTATATTTAGTAAGTTAGACTTGTCAAGTGCTTATCTACAATTGCCCTTGGGTCAAACATCAAAGGAACTGTTGACGATTAATACTCATCTTGGATTGTTCCAATATCCGAAGTTACTGTTCGGTGTTAGTACTGCTCCTGCTATATTTCAGAAGGTTATCGACAAAATTCTCCGTGGATTAGATAGAGTTTGTTGTAAAGTAGATGACATTTTAATTAGTGCAACTAGTGACTCTCAGCACAATGAACTGTTAACTGAAGTACTCAGTAGACTTGAACGTCATGATATTACTTTAAGTCGTGAGAAATGTGAATTTGGTGTTTTTAAGTTAGAATATTTAGGACATGTTATTGACAAAAATGGTTTGCATGCAACACCTAGTAAAGTTCAAGCAATCAGTAATGCTAAATTGCCTACTAATATTTCAGAGTTAAGATCATTTCTTGGTGTAGTTCAGTATTATTCCAATTTCTTGCCTAATTTGTCAACTGTACTATCTCCATTGTATCATTTGTTAGGTAAAGATGTAGAGTGGAATTGGAACACAGAATGTACTAGTTCTGTTAATTCTGTTAAAAAGTTTCTTACTAGTGACAGATTATTAGTTCATTATAGTAATGAAAAGAAATTAATTTTAGCATGTGGCGCATCTCCAGTAGGGATTGGTGCAGTTATTTTTCATGTGATGGACAATGGTCAAGAACGTCCTATTGCTTATGCATCCTGTACATTGAGTGAGGCAGAGCAGAATTATAGTCAAATAGATCGTGAAGCTTTAGGTATTATTTTTGGTGTTAGAAAATTTCATAAGTATTTATATGGTCGTCCATTTGTGTTAATTACTGACCATAAACCTTTAACTACATTGTTTAATACGAAAGTTGGTATTCCTACTTTAGCTGCTATTAGAATGAACGTTGGAGTCTTATTTTAGCTGCTTATCAATATACTATTGAATACAGAAAGTCTTCTGATCATGGTAACACAGACATGTTATCAAGATTACCATTAGAAAATGTTGATAGTAATATTTGTGAATTAGCAATTAATTATTTTACATATACTAATAATTTACCTGTTACTGCTTTAGATATAAGTAATGAAACTTAAAAAAAGCCTATATTATCTAAAATTTGGCGCTATGTTATGCACGACTTAACTGTGAAGTTAGAACAAGATTTAGTTTATTAAGGCCAAATATTCAACAAAGAGTAGAGTCTAAGCAAAATGATGAAATTGCTAAAAGAAATGTTAATCGTAAGGTTAAACAATTTGTTGAAGGTGAGAAAGTAAGAATTTTAAATGTAAGAAGTAATTTTCCTAAATGGCATTATGGTAGAATTGTAAAATGTTTAAGTGCTGTCAGATATTCAGTTAAAATTGTTTATCGTGAACGTCAAGTTCATATTGACCATCTTATGGAAACATTTGAAGATAATTTACCCGATGAAACTGACCCTATTCCTAATTCAGATTTGTTAAATGATCTAATCAGAGTAAAAATCTATCGATTTGTCACGCTTTGTTTTCGTTATGTTTTTTACCCTTTTTTTTTTCTTTTTGGGGAACGACCCTAGACAAAATCGAAAATGGTATAGCATAATTGTCTTAACCAAACATTTTTAAATGACCTGGAATCAAAAATGAATATCTGAAACTCAATTTTTGCTACTGGAATTGTGCCATTGCATAATGTGCAAATATTTTGCATCAAGTCTGTAGGGCTTATTTATGAACCGATTTACCTGAAATTTTCTTTAATATGTTCATTGTTATAAGACGCATCTGATGAGGCTAAAAAAAATTCAATTTTTATACGCCCACATGAAATGGGGGGTGTATATTGGCGTCACCCATGTCCGTCCGTCGGTAGGTCGGTCCGTCCACAATTCTTGACGGATTTTGACAAAACTTGGTATGAGTGTTCGTAATCACCCAACAATGAACCCTATTGAAAAAACGGAAGAATCGAAAAATATTAAGTATAAGTTATTGCCCTTGTTCTCGAAAATGCGTTCAATTTTTAGCTCTTACACACTCTAGAAGGGACAATTATTGACGGATTTTAACGAAACTTGGCATGAATGTTCGTACTCACCCAAGGATGAACCCTATTGAAAATCAGAAGAATTGAAAAATATTTTGTATGAGTTATTGCCCTTGATCTTGTAAACTCGTTCAATTTGTAGCTCATAAAAACTCTAGAAGGCATGATTCTTGCCGAATTTTGACAAAACTTGGTTTTATTATTCAATACCGCGCTGAAGATTGAATATTTGTCTTTTAGAGTTTTCACGATCTAAAGATTGAACACGTTTTCATGAACTAGGGCAATAACTCATACTCAATGTTATTCAGTATCACCTTAAAGAGTTCAAAAGAAGTTTATGACTGTTTATGAATGTTGAATATTTCATACTGGTGATTGTTACTGTACTGCTAAATATTTATGTTCAAAATCAAAGCTGCCAGTGGGCGTATATAACCTTGCCTGGCAAGCTATCTTAACCAACCTGGTCATGATTATAAATGCACACTTCTTGAGAAAATTACAAATGAAACCAAAAGCAAACTAGACAGTGCAGAAACTCTGTGGATTCATAGACTTGACTCTGTATGGCCATATGGATTGAATGAACTCAACCCAGAAGGTTTCAAAATTGCTAAATATTATGAGGTCATATTGTAATTTTAATCTTAACTGCCTTCCACCATTTGTAGTTTGTTTCTTCCCCCGATGAAGTCAAAACTTTTTTGACAAAACATTGGGTATTTAAGGATGGTATTTGATGTCAGTTTATTATTTATTACACATGAAATGGGGTGGCGTATATTGCCGTCAACTCTTTCTGTCTGTCCATCGGTCCGTCCACAATTGCTCGTAAACACTCTACAAGGCACAATTCTTGACTGATTTCGACGAAACTTAGTATAGTTGTTTGTTATCACCCAAGGATGAACCCTATTGAAAATCAGACGAATCGAAAAATATTTACTATGAGTGATTGCCCTTGTTCTTGAAACGCTCGTAACACTCTGGAAGGTGCAATTCATGATGGATTTTGATGAAACTTGGTATGAGTGTTCGTAATCTCCCAAGAATAAACCCTATTGAAAATCAGAAAAATTGAAAAATATTTAGTATGAGTTATTGCCCTAACTCCTATCAACAAACTCTATTATAAATTTTGTCGAACAGTTGACATGCTTACTGGTATTTGTATATATTAGAATAGAAATCTTTAAATATTCCATTAACATTCATTAAATTGATATACAGAGCAGTCTCAGAATGCAAGAGAGCATATTATCTCTAGGAAAGGGTCTTTATAATCAATGGTTTCCAAATTTTGTTGAAAGAAAGTGTACTCTCCAATTATATCGTCTGCTAATTTGATAATTCGCGAATTCAAAGCTTTTAATAGAGGTATTATAATAGTTGTTTATTTTCTTCCTTGTTTTGTTTTACTGATAGCACTTATATTTTCTTGTTGTTACGTTACTATTGTTCCTTGAAATGATAGAAGACAGGGTTTAAGTTTGATAAATTGTATTGCTTCGGTTGTTAATTCATTTACAAGACAATATGAATAATATTATATTAATATACAAATGATGAAACAAAATATAAATATGAAATATTAATACAAGATATAAAATATAAATACAAAATATCAATACTAAAATATCAATACTAAAATACATAAATAAAGTGGGGGTGTTGTATGAAATAACATAGTTAAATAAATATATTCATTGGGGGAGCTTACTCGCTTACAATGTCTAGTGGCACTACTTGCCAATATCATTTGTTCATGATGTTCTATAGCCAAATACTTTTAATCAACAACCAAGCTTAATTAGCAATAATACCTTGTCTTCTCTTTCAAGGTAAATAGGTAATCTCTAATGAGATTTATAATCAAAAATTAAATGAAGAGAGGCAATCGTGATTTTTGACATTTTTTGGTAATTTTCGAATGTTTCGGGCAAATTTCGGAAATTTTTTTTTGAGAATCTTAATTGATAATTTGTGTTCCACCTACCAATTTTTGTGAAAATCAAATAAAAATTAAAGAAGTTACAGTACCAAAAGTTATCGAAAAAATTTTCGAATTTCAAATTTCTGAAAACACAGTCTATTCAGAAGTTCTTTCAAGATGGCACACACAAAAAATTAGGTAAATCAAACACATATTAAACAATTTATGGCCGTTTTTCAAAATTAAGGAGTTTTCCGCTACACCGCCTCCGGTCGGAATCCGATGGCTGGAAATATATTTAAAAGGCAATTCCGCAGCTTGGAATGTCTGACCCAATGCCAAAAATAATCAAAGTGTCAGTATGAATATACCTGATAACCAAATAGTAGCAATACACAGAATACCATTCAGAAAACCTAATCTTCCAAGACCAATAGTGATAAAATTTCTCCAAACTGATACAAAAACAGATGTTATGAAGAACAGACAAGGATTTAAAGGTAGAGGACTAAATATATTTGACAATGTGACAAAACGGAATGTTGAAGAACAACTCTGATACAGACAGTGCATGGTACTTCAATGGAAAGGTTTATGCAAGAAGCACACTGGGAAAACGATATTCCTTCGAACTCTACGACAATTTACAAGAAAGAATTGCAGCATCCACGAACAAAGCTCGACATTAAATCTTTGGTAACCAATATAGACTTTTTAAATAGTTACAATTATGTTGTTAAATCAAAGATATATGTATAGTTCTAGATATATTAATATGTAGATTTAGTTAATGCTAGTATAAGTATACATATACAATATTTTGAAACACAAAAATCATTCAACTATCGCTTAATTCATTGTTAACCATTAACTAATGATATATTCATCAGAGCTCACAATCAATCATGCTAATGACAAATTTTAGTTTCGATACTTTCATTATTTTCTATATATACCAGGCTATACACATGCATTTTGCACAAACATATCTCTACAACTGCATATTCAACGTGATATTACAAAAAACAAAAATAGACCCTGAATTATTTATAAAAAACAACAGAAAAAATAAAAACTCAATCCCTTAAGATTTTAAATTCCCTTCAGATTTCGGGGAAGGGAGGGTTTGATTCTCCCAAATGTACAGGCCTAGGGTGGAGCAGACACTTTATTTAGAAATTAGGATTAAGGGTCTTGATATTGGGTTTTCTTCTGTTCTTATTCTGATCTGAAATTAGAAAAAATAACTCGCCCGATGGGCGAGAAGTATAGTATCTGTTATGTACTGATTGTTTTTAGTTTACTATGAACAATATTATCATTTAAGTTCTTATTTTTTGAATATGCAACTATCATTTTCTGCTTATAGACATGGGGGAATTTCTCTTGAAGGCTCTTACTGTGGGCATGAACTATCTTGCTTGCTCGATTGCTGGTTGTATTAAACGGGACAACAAAGGGTGCTATGCCTACATTATGATGAATATTTAGTCTTATAGGTCTTGCTGTATTCAATGTCTCAATCCAATGGGCCTCCCTAGATTGACGGAATTTGGTAGTTTCATCTTCGGGCAAGTCAATTTATATACGCTCAATTGGGATTAGGGTGAGATCGTCTATTGAATGGTCGTCGAGGTTGAAATGATTAGAAACAGGCTTGTCTTTCTTTAATTTGATGTCTGACCTATGAGCATAAAAAGTCAGAAAATATTTACATGGATTCGTGATAATCACTTTGACATAACATTCTTACAAGAAACACATAGTACTCCAAAAGACGAAATTAAATGGAAAGATGGAGAGTTTTATTTTTCACATGGTGCTAGCAACTCGACTGGCACAGCAATCATCTGCAAATCAGATATAACAAACATCGACATAAAATCTTACACTGCTGATGAAAACGGCTATCACAATCTTATTTTTGTAGACTTAGAGCAAATTCCATACATTTTAATAAATACATATAGTGCAAATCATGACAAAGCTCAGGAAATCTATTTCCAGAAATTACTTGAATTTTAAACATATCACAATCTAATTCTGACCGCAGTCAAGATCTACAAGTTATTATAGGTGGTAACATTAATAATGTATTAAACACCGAAAAAGAGGCCTAGAAAAAATTCAAAACATATAAACGACTTTCGACCTCCTGGATATTTATAGATTGTATAACCCAGTTAAAAAACAATTCACCTGGAGACAACCCACTCCTTCAATACACAGTAGAATTGACTGGCTTGTTTCAAAAAATTCACTGAAATATATAATTAACACTTCCATCAAACCTACAACATTTAGTGATCACTCAGCAATAATTTTTACAATAGATCATGCCACTGAAAAACATGGTCCAAAACTTTGGATATTTAATTCAACCTTAACAAAAGATTTAAATTATACTCGATTGATAACAGATTCATTAAACTCATGGAAATCTGAATATCATGATATATCTGATAAAAGGGGACTTTGAGATTTTTTTAACTTTAAAATCAAGAAAATAACAATTGAATATTGCAAGAAAAAACAAGCAGTTAAACGAGAAATTAAGAGATCGTTAAGTACAGAGCTTGAAAAACTGGAGGGAGTTTTACACTTATTAAATGACAATTAAACATACAATACCTTAAAACAATATGAAATTACCAAAAACAAACTAGATGATATTTACACAAATGAAGCCACAGGAGCCATGATTAGGTCTAAAATTCAAAATTACATACATGTGTACAGGTCAGGGAAAAAAATCTGGAGCTTTGCCTTGAAAAATCTGGAGATTGGGTGAAAAGTCGGGAGATTTTTCCAAAGCGCGTAAATTCGTGATTTGAAACTCCAAATTGATTGTTTTTTTCTTTTTTTTTTCAATTAAGCTTTAAGCCTTTTAAATTAATTAAATTGATCATAGGCCTACATGACACAGTTAAAATTAACAATCTATAATTATGGATAATTCTAGAAATAGTGCCTGATATTTCAAATTTAGGGGCCCAAAAAAAATTTGATATTTTCATTCTTCAGTATTGATTGAATCAAAAATAATGTCAAGGTGAAATGATGTTTGAAAACAAGAAAACAAGCATGATCCCAGCCCTCTATATTAAATGGTACCGGTAGGCCTACATCATACATGTACCATATTAAAAAACAGTATGTTCTGAAAGCAATATTTAGAAAATAATATGTACTGGCAATGTTACTTTTTCCAAAGGTGTAATTCATGACATCTTAAATATCTCCAGTCCGATCATTAAATACTTTTCCTGCAACACTCTCACGAAATACTGAATTGAATTTTCCGCTTCCATTTTGACGTTCTTCGGA